ATAACACGCAACATAAAAGAAAAACTAAAGAAAATAAAAAAAATTCTAATATACTTAGTTTATAGTCTTTAGCTAGACTTTTTGATTCATTTTCTTGATCATTTTCAATCAGGCTCTCTTGGGAAGATAGAAACCTTCTCCCTAATATCTCTCAAATAGTGTATGACCCCTTTTTCCTCAACCTTGAATTTTCTACCATCTCCTTCATCCAAAATTTTCATAGCTTCATGCAAAAAGACTTTAACAACTTTAAAGGGTCCTAACCATCCAGACATTAACTTCACATAAAATAGCCTTATTTTTGAATTAAAAGGTAGAACTAGTTGCCTTGTATCCAACCACTTAAGCACTTTTTGCATAATTAGACTAAGTTTTCTTTGTTGCTCAATGAAGTTGCTTTTTGGGTCAGTCAACAGAATCTTATGCATGCCTAAGGTTGGGATGATCCTCTTAACATCTACTATGATCCGATTCTTGGTTTTTCAAAAAAATTTATGCACATTCAGCTGATGTTTGTCCTCACGAACTTTAAGGAAATTAGACACAATGATAAGCAATCTGTCTTTTTTCCTTAAATAGACATACTTAAGATTGGTTAGCAGAATCTTAAGTTCAATGATTAGTGGAACTTCCATGGATGACCAAGGAGAATTTAGCTCTTTTTTACGCAGACTTAAGGACTCAAACTGCTTTTCTTTCCAAAAAGTTGCAGGTTTAGATTCTAGCCAGCCTATACTCTCATCTAAATCCTCCTTATCCACCTCACACTCATCTAAAATAGCCACTTCTATTGGGTCCTTGCCATTCTTCTCTTTAAACCTATCTTTCACCAAGTGGTTAACTATACCCCTAAGAGAACAGTCCCCTATCTCCCTAGGATATTTCATGGCCTTCAACACATTAAAGTTGACTCTCTCCTCATTCACATTCAAAGGGAATGGAAGGGGAGATCTATTACTAATGTTTGCTGGATTTGTTTTAGACAGTGATGTTGCAGGCCCCTTTCCTTGCATATGGCTCTGCATTGCATGATTATTAGGCATAGGAATAACCGGTTCTTGCTCCTTTTCTTCAGAAGATTTTTCCTTGGCAACTTCTTGAGGTGCAACCAGTTCCTTCTTGGCCTCTTCTTCGACTTGAGTAACAAGAATTTTCAGTTCGCATGGCCTAACTACACCTTCGGGTTGGATGACCCACCTGTCATTTCTTAGCTCAAGCATTTTGTCTTGTTCATGACACTCTCTCCTAGGTTCTTCAATGTTGCTAGGAAAAATACCTAGAGGTTCATTATTTATAGCAATGGCTAACTGACCTATTTGAGTCTCTAAACTCCTAAGAGAGGCAGATGTACTCTGCACAATAGCCTCTGAGCTATTTTGCTTAGCTTTATTCTTGACCAATATGTCTCTAAGCAAAGTTTCTAAGGATGAAGAAGGGAGGTCCACTTGTTGGTTTTGAGAGTACTGGGATGTAAGTTGTTTCCTAGGGGGTTGTTGTTGGTAGTTTTTAGAAGGAAAAAGAGGTATAGGTTGTGCATTTGAAAGGCCATCTTGCCGCCCTTGTCCTTGTTTACACTGGTAACCAGAATTCTGCATCCAACCTTGGTTAAAATTACTGGAAAAATTATTTTCGTTTCTATTGTAGTTTCCTACATAGAAAATAGACTCTGGGTTCGATGGACAACTTTGAAAGAGGTGTGGACCACTATAATCAACACGAGACACATGGGATTGGCTGGACAACTTGGTGTTGGATCAGTTTGGCCTCTATGATTTGATTTTGAGTCTTAATGAAAGTTAAGAGTGCATTAAATTTGGCATAGAGGGCTGCATAGGAATCTACATGAGGTATTCCAACCAGACTCATTTTAGTGGCCATTTCACCAGACCATTGGAAATAATTTTGATCCATTTGCTCTAAGCAACTTTTCCTAACTTAAAAAATTTTTAAGTTCTCAACTAACTAAATTAAAACATAAACTTAACAGAAGAAAAGAAAACAAATAACAAAAATGGCAAATTCAACTAAAGAAACAAGAAATATATATGCCAAGTTTAATCTGTATTCAGATATCAGCAGACATACCAACAAGCATAACAGAAAAATAAAGGGGGAAAAATTGATGCCAACAACGTGAAAAAAAAGAAAACAACAATTAACAAAAAGATAACAGTAAAATTAATACCAACAAAAATATAATCTAAAAATTAAACTAACAGCATCATTTATCAGAGCAGTGTATACCAAAAATCAAAATGACAAGAAGAATAAAAACTAATCTGCCAATAAAAGAAATATAGCAGAATTGAAGGATATCTGCTAACAGAAAGAAAGAAAGAAGGAAAATAAGCTAAACTAACAAAAGTATTAAAATAACAGAAAACTGATAATAACAACAAATTAATTAAGAACAACAATCACAAAGAAAATCTGACAATACACCTTTGATCCCCCCAACGACGCCAAAAACTTGTTAGCCCTGCTAAAGAGTATGCAAGATATGCGCAAGTATATGCAGCCACAAGTAATATAGGGCGTATTTGAGACCCCAATATCGTTCCCACAAGGATCTTGGCAATGTGAATTAATTGAAAAATTGTAAATGCTAAACTGAATAAAAATAAAAATTATCCATATGAGGAACAAAAAAGAAAAGTAACAGAATTGTAAACTATAAATTTTCTTGGATTTTTCTAAGTTACTTTTGAATTTTGGATTTGTGTGCAAGAAAAACAGAAAGTGATAAATTAAATTTAAAATTCTTTTAGGCTTTCTGGAGTAAAATGTATATATGGTTTCTTTTTCTTTTTCTTTTTAATTGCAGCAAGGAAAATTCTTAGAGAATTACAATCAGAAACGACAAGAGATAAAAATGGGTAAAAGTATTTAAAAAAAAATTAGGTTGAGTCTTCGATGTACGTTTCCCACAGCCTTGAAATAAATGCTATTTACACATTGCTTAATTCAAATTCCCAGTTAACGGATCACTATTGTTGATTTTAATCTCTTAAAATCATTTTATCCACAATCTACATTCACACTTTTCTGTGCTAAATGTAGTGAGGACTCTCGAATAAAAAGTCCAAGGTTACATGGTGGGTTCCTTCATCTTTGAAGTGAATCCCCTTGAATGATCTCTCATTCAAGCTTATGTGTTTAATGCCTTTTCTAGAAGCAACTACCTCTCGATAACTTCTTCCTAATTAAACATCTAACATCAGGCCAAAATGCAAAACGTTTAAACAACAAGTATGGCATTAAACAATTGAGAATTTAAATTTAGCAATAGTAACAATGATCATTCAACACTGCAGTTCAGATCACCTAGACTCAACCTTTAAGGGTTTAGCTCTGATCCAAAGAATGGAGCTCAAAACAGCAAAAAGAACAAAAAAAATTAAACTAAAAGAATAAAAATCAACAATGTAGAAGCTACAACTAAAGGAATAGCTCTGCTACAGTACCAGAAAATTAAAATTAAAATCATACTTCACAGAAAAATTATCCACAAGAACGAAAAAGAGGAAGAAGAAGCTGCGTATAGTGACACTCTTCCTTCTTTTATATCCGCCTCTTTTGCATGTGAAAGCCTCGTGACCCTTGCATCAACAATCATGTATTCTCACTCTCACGCTTTGATCATCCTTTGCGCAAGCATCTTCTCTTTCCACGCCCACTCCTGCAACAACCTGTAATCGCGTAACAACCTCAAGCTAAAGATGTTGGCTGAAGATTCTGTATTTTTCTCCTTTTTTTTTTTTACAATTATGTGGGTGGTTGGTTGATCTATATGGGTGAGAATCAGCGCACCATAAGGTTTTATGGCTCAATGATTTTACACAATCAGAGAAGAGTGAGGTTGGGTGACTCAATAGACCAAAGATTAAGAATGGCTAGGGTTTGGTAGAGCTTGATTTGGACTGAATTTAGTCTACTACGATAGTTGCTCTTTCTTTTACTCAGCCTTTATTTTCATTCACCTTTCTACCCTTGCAATGAGTCACTGACGTGGGCTCATTTTTGTATGCCATGCTCTCTATTTTGGCTTCTTTTGGACTTGGCCTTTTGGGCCTTCAAAATTCTGTAATAAAAACCTAATATAAGTCCCACAGCCCAATTTAAATCAAAACACACTAGAAATGAGGCATAATTAGCAGTGAACAAGTCTTCTGATAAAGAATTATCAGACCTCTACCTCTTTGATGTATGTGCAATAAAGTAGAGTTATGTTATGTAACATAACAAACATAAAATCCTATGTAAAATGATGTTGATCCTCATAGTATATATTGGTAAAGTCTTTCAAGCAATGTTATTAAAATGTATTCCACATTACTCAAGAAGAAAAATAAAACATTAACTAGTAAGCCTTATCATTTTACGTATCATATTACTTTTATTTATGAGATTTATACTTCTGCTATCACTGCCGAAATATAATCTCCTGCCATAGACTCATCAAACTGTCTGCCTTGATTTTTTGTTTAAAAAAAATGTGGAGCCCATTAGTGAATGTCTCTGCTGCAAAATCTCAACCTCTGTTGTCAATAAAGAGGTATAAAACCCTTTATTTATATATTTATTTCATATTTTTATGTAAATTCACTTCAAGTAGTTGAACTAATAATGTATTAATTTATTGATACATGCCCCGAGGCGATAACCATTTCAGATTTAATCACATTGATTTCATGCATTGTTGTTAAAACGTCGTTCCAACTCATAGAAACGCTCGATTTTATGTTTTTTTGGGCCAAAAACATTTCAGAACGGTGGTACAAACTGAAATGGGGTAGAAATGATTGAAACACCGAGTTGACTCGGTAAACTCGGTTGACTCACTGGAAAAAAAAAACAGAACATGGTATTTTAGGGTGATTTCTCCCAACTCAAAAGTGCTATGCAGAGAGTGGTGGCTGGCGTTTTGAGGCGGTTCAAAATGGGGCCCGCAGTGGCAGAAAGGGTGGAGCCCAAACTTCATTACCTTCATAATTACGCAAATGGAAGGTGGGTTCCTTGTGAGGATTGAGGAAAGGCTTGCTTGAAGGTAGAAAAACGATGAGGGGAAGAATAGATTATGATCTTAACCATTTATTCCTTTAGAAGGGTATGGTTGTCAATTGTTTGCAGTTGTGGCAGCACGCGGATTAATGACGTGGCGTGTGGAGGAGTATGGAGTGCTCAACGACAATCGTTGATCTAATAATGATGAAAAGTTGAGATTAAATTAAATAGGGTGATGCGGATCTATGAATTCTCGTGCGGGAGAGTAAAAAAAAAGAAATTGATTTTTTGGTTGCTTCTGAAAATGGGAGCTCAAGAGTCAAATGCCAAAAACTTGGGCTTTGGTTGAACCCATTTCCCAAAACCTCAAATACTTGAACTCAGATCCTTCACTCGTTTGTAGGTGAAATAGATAAAAACATTAACTAAAAAAATAATTCTAATAAATAAACAATTCTAATTTTTTCCAGCCCATCATTCTAATAATCTTCTTGATTATTAAATAAAAATATTAAGCATTAAAATCTTTTTAAAATACTAAAACAATTATTTTCTTAGACTTAAATTTGTGATGACTTATGTATTGGTGCGTTTTGATTTTATATATATTGGATATTTTTTTTTTTGTATATAGTAAACTCTTACTTTTCGTTTACGTTTTAAGATTTTATGTTTCTGCTCACTCCCACCGTTTCTACATAGACTTTACGTTTTAACAACATTGATTTCATGTAAGAGCTTAAAAAGGGGCTTTTTGACCGTTTTGCCCCTCATTAATTAATTAATAACCAATTTGCTCCTCCCCCATAACTATCCACCATCCTGCCCCCATTTAGTCGATCAAGTTGCACTTTTAATCGACTAAGTGGGCAAAATTCAGAAATCAAGAAACACGAATTTTAGTCAACTAAATATTCACCTTGATCGACTAAATGTCGAGCACTTTTAGTCGACTAAGGCCATTATTTAGTCGACTAAATATCGCAGACCAGTTTTTTTAAAACCCCCCATTTCGCAATGAGGGTTATTTTGAAACCCTAGTCGACTAAGGCCACTCCAAGAACCCCTCTCCTCAACCAAGTTCGAATCTCATCCCTTGAAGGTCCGATTGAAGCATCATTGGTTCACAACTTGCGAAATTGACATTGTAGGTAACGTTTTCTGACTGCATTTGGTTTTAGGTTTAGGTTTTTTTTTTTGTTTTCTCCATGCTTTGGTTTCTGTTATTTTAAATTTCTTGTTTATGGTAGAAGGTTGTTTGCGGTTTTGTGGCTTTAGGTTAGGGGTATGGTGTTGAGTTTGATGTGTGGGTAATGGACTAGGGTTGATGTGGTAGCTTAGGGTTAGGGTTAGGGTTAGGGTTAGGGTTAGGGGAAGGGCTGCTGTTTTGGTTGGGGTGTAGGTTAAGGGTTTCTGTTTTCATGTTAGGGTATAGGATTGGTTTTCCTGTTAGGGTTAGGGTTAGGGTTTAGGGTTAGGGTTAGGGCTGCTGTTTTGGTTGGGGTGTAGGGTTGAGGGTTTGGGGTTGGGTTGCTGTTTTTGATTGGGTTTAGGGTTTGTTTTATGTTTTATGACATAGGGTTAGGGTTTAGTTTTTTATATTGAATTTTAAATTTTTTTGATATTGTTATTGTCCATTGATATTGTTTCCACTTGCATTGTAGGTACCCTTGTTCCCATGGCTGAGCGTAGAAGATCGAGTAACGTGGGAAATGAGAGACGTAAGAAGGTACGACAAGACCGTCCGTCTTCGTCAAGGCAACAAGATGAAGAGCCCGCTCATGTCGACCTCCCATTCGGATACTTGTTCGAGCATGACCCCGTGGTTCATGATTCATTTGTCCGTGACTTTGCTAACCGACCTATATGTGGGGCCAAATCACTTGATACAGGTGCGTGCCGTCAATTTGGATTATGGGTTTACAATATTTGAAAGCCTCAATGCACTGGTGAAAAGTCCAAAATACCCTGCGAAAGACAGCTTTATCGGTGTAGACACGTCGTTCGTCACAACACTCGTCCATATCAATCTTGAACACAGAACCAGGATTAATCTGTGTCATGTAGGTCAGCCAACCAGGTAAGATGGCATATGATTTATCCCAGTCGCCAAACAACTTCACAATGGCCTTCATTTTAGCCTTCCAAGCCTTCCTATAAGATATGTTGTATCCATACAAACGCTATACCCTCTCCTGAATAAGAACTGGTTTCAGAGATGGATATTCTTTTAACATACCTATACCAAAATCAAAGTCAACACAGTCAATAAATAAAACCATAAAAATAACGTAAACATAAACCCTAAACCAAACATCGTGTAATACATACTTATAATGGCTGCACAGATTACATCAGAATCCAGCTGTCTATGGTCCCGGGTAAGGCCTTGGTTTAGGCAGGTGTGTTCTTTAGCCCACTTACTAACAACCCAAGTATTTCCATTCTTGGGCAACATAGCCCGCACGTACCAGGGACAACCATCAATATGGTGTCGACACTTCATCACAAATCTATGGTCATCACTTTTTGCCACCACAGCAGTACGATGTGACTTCATACAATATAATTTGACTGCATGTTGCATTTCAGATTTAGTTCGAAACTCCTGGTACAAATATAATGGATCCCCTAAATGCCAGCCACCTTGGAAGTCATCGTCGCCATACAATATCTCCGTCTCATCATTAGGGTGAGACCAATTAATGAAGGAATAATGTGGGCTTTCGTTCCAAAACGGCTCAATATCGGAACCTACGTCCAAATTCCAGGAGTTTTCTGTCAGTACGATTGATAACACAAATAGGAAATATTCATTTAAAAACTGTAATTTACTATCTTACCACTACTAACAGGGTCAACACGGAGTGATGGCATCACCTGGGAACTCAAGTTTCCTGAACTAGTGTCAGCGTCAAAATTCCCTTCTATGTCCGTATCTGAGCTGTCACCCAGCGGAATAACACTCTCGGGTTCACCATCGTCTTCACTGTCCATATCCTCGTCATGCTCATCCTCATCCTCGTCTATTTCCCTCAGTGTTATCTGACTTAAGACAGGTGCAGGAGCAGATAAACCGACGACTCTGTCTTTTTGACTTTGACTTCTTTCATGCATAGGTGCAGATGAAGATTGACCACAGTCTATTTCAACATATATCTCAATAAAGTTTTGAAATTTTCTGTCCACAATTGCATCTATGACACATTCCACATCTTCATCGTCACATATATCATTACCAATGTAGAATATAACATCCTTACCAACTGTAGACTCTACCCTGGCGATCATCCGTTGAACGCACTGGCTGCCTTGTAGCCCCAATTTTTGGTGAATCCTCCCCTTAAGCTCATTGTACGTGGTGACACGTTTGATTTTCAACATTTTCGTTTTTCCTTCAAATTGAACACCGTTGGGGCCTTCATAATGTTTTCCATCATAGTAAATCATGGTAACATACATGTTTGGACTTGAGCTCATCTTACACACGAATTTGGGGGTAGGAATCGGATTTTAGGGTTTTGGGTTCGGATTTGGGGGAAACAAATCAGAAAATAAGGGAAATGACAATGATTTCACAATTACTATGCATTGGAGATGGTGGGATGAAATGGAAGGGTGATTGGAGGTCCCGTTGCTGACAAACAAGAGAAAGAGGGGTTTTGATTTCGAAAATATTGCAAATGAGACCGAGAGAGGTCTGGATATAGGGTTTTCCGCGAATTTTAGTCGACTAAATAATGTCCTTAGTCGACTAAAAGTGCTCGACATTTAGTCGATCAAGGTGAATATTTAGTCGACTAAAATTCGTGTTTCTTGATTTCTGAATTTTGCCCATTTAGTCGTTTAAAAGTGCAACTTGATCGACTAAATAAGGGCAGGATGGTGGATAGTTCTGGGGGAGGGGCAAATTAATTATTAATTCATTAATGAGGGGCAAAAGGGTCAAAAAACCCTTAAAAAGGGGTTAACCTTAAGTTTTTTTTGTTTTTGTTTTAGTACGCTTAAATATTTAATTTTATATAAATGGTCTATCACTACAAAATTTCATGCCCTTTATTATTTATTTAACTTTGCTCCCCCCGGAGGGAAGAATCTCTGTCTGCACGAGTTGATGCAAACAGTGAAAGATTTTCTGAAACCTGTTGTAGTTCTTATTCTCTCAACAATGCCAATGAGGTTTTCCAACAACTTTTCCTCAATCCCTCGGAGAAAGCTTGGCCCTTTCTCACGATTCTGCTCAAAACCACTGCTTACCATGGATCCCCTCCGAGACCCACAAACACAAATACTCGCCAGCAACAATTTTCTCGAGAAAATTTTACCAGAAGCTCAATCCTCCGAGAAAAAACATATTTTTGACACCCTTTTGAGCCACAAGGCGGACCCCGAATCGGCTTTGAAGTTCTTCAAAGGATTAGAGAGAAAACAAGGGTTTGTGAAAACTGTTGACGTTTTCTGTTTGTTTCTTCAAATTCTGGCTTCAAGCCCTGACACTCATGGGGTTGTTCGATATTTGCTCAATGACTATGTTTTCGGAGATTCGGGTCCTGCTGCCAGAGTGCTTGTGGAACAATTGGTTGAGTGTGCTGGAAGGTACGGTTTTGAATCCGATTCGCGGGTTTTCAATTATCTGTTGAGTAGTTATGTTAGAGCTGGTAAGATCACTGATGCTGTTGAGTGTTTTAGAACGATGTTAGAGCATGATGTGCTTCCATTTGTTCCCATTATGAACATCCTTTTGACTGCAACGGTTAGGCGAAGCATGATTGATGATGCACGCCACTTGTATGATGAAATGGTTAAAAGAAAAATCTACGGTGATTGTTTTACCTTGCATATCTTAATGCGGGCGTGTTTGAAAGGAGAGAAGATTGAGGAGGCCGAGAAGTATTTCGAAGAGGCCATGGGTAGAGGGTTGAAACTTGATGCAGCTGCGTATAGTATTGTTATTCAGGCTATTTGTAAGAGGCAGGACTCGAATTTGGCATGTAAGATCTTGGAGAAGATGAGAAAGTTGGGCTGGGTGCCATCTGAGGGTACGTATACGTCTGTAATTGGTGCTTGTGTGAAGAAGGGAAATGTTTTAGAGGCATTGAGGCTAAAGGATGAGATGGTGGATAGTGGTATACCTGTGAACATAATTGTTGCAACAAACTTGATGAAAGGGCATTGTGAGCAAGGAAATGTGAAAAGTGCATTGCTGTTGTTTAATGAGATTGTTGAAGCTGGTGTTACACCCAATGCGGGTACTTTCTCAATTTTGATAGATTGGTGTTCTAAGATTGGGATTATGAAGAAGGCGTATGAACTTTACTCCCGAATGAAACTCATGGGCATTCAACCCACTGTCTTTATTGTAAGTTTTCTTCTAAAAGGATACCGGAAACAGAATTTGCTAGAAGATGCATATAAATTGCTTGATGAGGCAGTTGAACTTGGTATTGCCAGTGTTGTTACATATAACATCCTTTTATCCTGGCTTTGTGAACTGGGTAAGGTTGATGAGGCTCGTACTTTGTGGGACAGGATGATAGGTAAGGGTATTACACCTTCTGTAGTTTCTTACAACCATATAATACTTGGTCACTGCAAAAAGGGTTACATGGATGGTGCATATAGTGTGATGAATGATATTCTTAAAAGTGGATTAAAGCCAAATGCTATTACATATACTCTCTTGATAGATGGCTTTTTTAAAAAGGGTGATTCTGAGCGTGCCTTTGTCATGTTTGAGCAAATGGTGGCTGCAAATGTTGCACCTACAGACTACACATTTAACACCATTATAAATGGCTTGTGCAAAGTTGGCCAGGTGTCTGAGACAAAGGATAAATTGAACAGCTTTATAAAGCAGGGGTTTATTCCTACTTCTATGACTTATAATAGCATCATAGATGGATTTGTCAAGGAAGGTGCAATTGAATCTGCACTGTCTACCTACAGCGAGATGTGCAAAATTGGAATTTTGCCAAATGTTATCACTTATACTAGTTTGATTAATGGATTTTGCAAAAGTTATAAGATTGATCTTGCTTTGGAAATGCATAATGATATGAAAAACAAGGGTGTGAAATTGGATACTGCTGCATATAGTGCTCTCATTGATGGTTTTTGCAAAATGCAAGACATGGAAAATGCATCTAAATTTTTCTCTGAACTTTTGGAAGTTGGTTTGGCTCCAAACACAATTGTTTATAACAGCATGATTAGTGGCTTCAGAAATTTGAATAATATGGAAGCAGCCCTTAACTTGCACAAGAAAATGATAAATAATAAGATTTCATGTGATTTGCAAACATACACCTCACTGATTGGAGGACTCTTAAAGGAGGGTAAATTGAGTTTTGCTTTAGATCTTTACTCAGAGATGCTTTCCAGGGGTATTGTGCCTGATATCTTCATGTATACTGTTCTGATAAATGGGCTCTGTAACCATGGACAACTGGAAAATGCAGGCAAGATTCTAAAGGAAATGGATGGGAATAATATAACTCCTAATGTTATTGTTTATAACACTTTAATTGCTGGACACTTTAAGGAAGGGAATCTGCAACAGGCTTTTAGATTGCATGATGAGATGCTTGAGAAGGGTCTTGTGCCTGACGACACTACGTATAATATTCTTGTAAATGGAAAGTTCAAGGGATCACATGCTTACGCTGGAGCTTAATTCACACAAAACAGATTGAGGGTAGAAGCACACATAAAACTTAGAGGGAGTCTTGGAGAGCAAATTCAATATGGTATAATTAACTTTTTTGGTCATTTAGCAAATAATTGTTTTGGGCTTTTTATGTTATTTTTCAGCACTTTGTGATATTATTTTAAAAGGGCCTTAATTTTAAAATGGACCTTCAATCCTTTACTTTTAGTTATTGCCTTATTGGGGCTCATTCTGTAAGACTATAAATAGCCTCTTTAGGTTTAAAACTAGCGCATTTGCTGAAATTTGCATTGAAATAGAAAGCCTTTAGAAAATTTTCATATCGTTTATTAAAGAACTAACCTGGAATTTACCGAAGAATCATCTTTCTGGTGTTCAACCTGCACTTAGGTTTTTGATTCTATATAATCATCTGAGTCTAGGTTTCTTAATCTGTTTTGGAGGATCTTTGGGCGATTATATCTAATTTGTGTGTAGGTTACCTAGTCAAATTCTTTTGGGGTTGTTATCACTTTTACAGTTTGATTTATTACTTGAAAAGAAGTAAAATTGAACTGTTGTTTGGATCTAAAATGTATTATATCCTGTAATTGCAATTGTTTTTATATTTTAGAAATAAATTTACTTTCAGAGTTTAAGTTGTGAATTCTTGCTTGTTATCATGGTATACTATTACGATATCTCCATTTAGAGTATTTTTAGAAGCTGTGGAGCTAATGTTGAAGCAATTCAGCTGTTGAGTCAGTAGAAAGGCAGCGGGGGTGAATGAAGGAAATATTCTGAAGGGCAATTCTATTTGAGGATATTAGAGAAGTCTAAATATAAAACAATTAAAGTGGCCTTCACTTAACAACTTATGTTTTTGGGGTTGAAATGGTTCTTTAAATGGTATCAGAGCCAATGGTTGATTGACATGTGTGAATTAAGTATTTGGAATTTTTAGGTAAGATGGTTATTTACATGGTATCTTATTAGTGTAGTCATTATATTATAACTCTGGTTGTATCAGATTATAGTTCTTGTTGCATCGTAGTTCTGTTGTATTAGATTCCTTTCCCTTCTATCAATTTGTTTAGAATCTGTTGTGTTAGTTAGACAGCTGTAACTCATTGCTGAGTCATCAGAGTCTCTTATAAATAGTCCTTGTATTAGAACTTCTAATGTAACAATTCATTTTACACAATTCAGAATATAACGAGTCTTTCACAGTTTTCTTTTTTCTCTCGTTTTCCCAAACTTTCTCTCCCTTTCTCAATGGCTCTTGCACATTTCTAATACATCTAAGCCAGTGATTAAGTGGTCACGAGATCGATTCTCACCGTTCACATTCTTCTAATAAATATTTAACTATGAAATTTTTTAGCACAAGTAGGTGAGCCTGTGTATTATCCACCGTTCAAACTCAATGGCTCTTGTATAAGAGGATGTGTTAGAGAAGTCTAATATAAAACTGTTAGTGGCCTTCACTTAACAACTTAAGTTTTTGGATTGAAATGGTTCTTTATAAAAGAAATGTAGGGAAAGAGAATGTGGGAACTCACTCCAAACCATCAGCATAAATAAAGATGTAATTTTCAGAAGGAGGAGACTGGATTTGGAATTGGGCTTGGGAGAAACCAGAGCTTCTCTATTTGCTCTGAATTTATCAATAGGGCTATATTCTATAGTGCTCTTTATTCTTAGTATCTGTGACTATTGCTACTTTTTTTTTTCTTCCAATTTGTACTCCTTTGTACACTGGTTCAGTTGACAATCAGTGATAATTAATATAATTTACTGTGTTTGGATCCCCTTTTTCTTTTCTTGATTGTCTGGTACCTAACCATAGTTATCAAATGCGGATTGCGTCATGTCGTGGCCAACCCCGAAAAACGCTATAGCGTTGTAACGGGTTGCAGTTGCGAAAATAGCGGAATAGATATATGACAGAATTAATGACAAAAAGAAACATTTTTTAAAGGCAGAGATAGCAGAAGTGACAAAGAGATACGCGGATAGGTTAAAAAACCCTTAAATTTTTCTGTTACACATTTAAATTTAGGACAAAATTGACATTATGCCTTATGACAATAACATGGCCGCAAATGCGATCGCAGTGGCCGCTATTGTGTTCCAGTGCGGCGCGACGCGGTTTCTTGCGGCGAGGCACCGCAACGCCCATATGGCCCGGCTCGCGGCGCTATTGCGGCGCTATTAACTACTATGTACCTAACATATACTGATTCAAATTTTTCTTCGAAACAGAGTATTCATATCATTAAAGTTGATGAGACAAGGGAAGTTTGTTTGTAGATTTGGAGTAGTACTGCCAGAATTCATAAATGGGCGGGGTCCTAATGCTGGTGTTCAGGTAGAAGAGAGTTTGACATTATCTGACGGAGCTTGGTCCACCCCAATTGGAGAGCTGAGAAATGATGGTGAAGGTCCTGGATTAGTCACTACAGAAATGGTTGTTTATATAATATGACTATGCCGTGTTTTGGAGCACAGCCTGGAGTGACCAACCGTATGAAAAGTGATTGATATGCTTGGACAAGCTATGCAACCAAAAATATCAGCTGCAGTGACTTTATTCAGGTCAATATCTTGCTCTATGTTCTAGGTAACGGGAACGGAATAAGTGTTCAATAGCATAATGCTACCAATAAATCATCAAATGCACACCACTTTTGTACCTTATCTCATGCATTATTTTACTATTAAATATTTCTGCACTAAATCAACTTCCAATGAGTCATCACAACTGAGATTACCAAACAAAAAAAAGTGAACATTGAAATATAGATATTTTATCTATGATCAACCCTTTTTATTTTTTGTGAGCCGAGGGTTATCAAGCCCCGTTTATTTAGTGTTTGTTTGAATTAGATTTTGGAAAATTAATTTTGAAGCAGGTTTTCAAAAGAATTGATTTTGTAAAAAATAATTTTGACAGAAGTATTTATTGGCTTTGAAAGATGTGAGTATTTGATTTTATTATTTATATAATTAATTTTTTTTTCAACTAAATATACATAAACATTATATTGTCCTGAATTGCATCATGTTTGTAAGCATGATAGAGTTACTTTGAATAAGTGATCTTATCTCCATGTTTTCTGGGAGTTACTTCCTTACTCGTCTTGCTTTGTATATTCATACTATATGTACCCCTTTTCAATATAAGGCTCTGATACCAAGTCTGTACAGGAGCCTCAATGCCTCACATATTATGTTGATTCTCAAGCTGAGACATTATCAAGCCCATTGACCCTAGAGTCTCAAGGCACCGTTCCTCACAACCCTGTTTATCTCATAATATGGAGGACCATAGCTCAGATCGTTAGCCAGAGGTGTTTTGATGAACAGGATCTTCATAGAGGCAAGTTCACAGTATAATAACATCTTTGTGGGATTCATGATTTGAACACAATAAGTCTAGCTTTCAGGAAAAAGAGAATTCTTAGAGAGAAGACATTAGATGTATAGGAAAGCACAAGTTCCTATTGTAATATGAGATTTTACAACTGAGACTCCTATATATAGAGGAGCTTACACAATAATTTGCATCAGCTAGCTACACATATATCACTTGTGTGATGCGATTTTAATCACAACTTTTATTACAAACACAAAGTACATACACACTCATTCATAACTATTGCTTTTATTGTACTAGGCCGAGTACTCAGCAATTTTTATTCATAAGCATAGCTTTACTGTCATTGAATAAGAGTGAGTTTGCTTTATCTTGAATCCTAACTAGGAGAGAGATTATAAAGCTGATACTCTTCAGAATTGATGCTTCTGTATCCTGTGTATCACCATGGTTTGTTTAGGTCAGCTTTGGCTTTTTTTTGCGATGATTACTTCCACTATTCTGTATTTGGATCTTGGGAATCTTGCATCAGAGACATTTCCTTAACAATAAATGTCTCTACTTCAGCCACGTGATCAATCATCATTTGATTGTCAGTATCTTGATTAAGGGGTTGTTGACTGCTGCTAGGCTGGTTGGTATCAGGATTCTTCATAGGTTAGAGACTAGAATTAGTTTGTGTGGTCTTTTATGATTATAGATTAACTCTTAAGTCTTAACGACTTACACAAATGGAATGGACTAGGTCTTCACAATTTTCTTAACATTTTACTTTATACAGATGAATTGCAATATCCTTTTGGATGAGAACTGTAGGTCAACAATGATTAAAAGTATCCCAATGATTTGCTTGGTTGTGTGACCAAAGAAGTCCAGTTCTTGAATTTTGTAAATAAAGATGATGGAGAATGAACACTGATATGAACTTTGTGAATTCTTCAGTTGTCTTTTTTCATTTTTGAGTTTCTACCAAGATGATACCTATTTCTTTTCTCCATCAATTTAATGGACAGAACCATTCTAGAGCAGCCCAGATGACAGAGCCATGCCTCTTCAGATTCATCAGAAAGTCAAACATTGTTGCTGTAGGAAGCAAGAATGCCATTGTGTATTGAAGAGTGGCACAACAAAAATAGCATAAATTTTCCTCAAAAATGGTCTTGAAAGACTATTGAGTATTGACCATAGGAATGATGAATGGAATGTGAGATCTTCTAAGGATTTTTTACTTCAAATGGAAAAGATGATTCCTCGCATGTTCCTTCATTTTTCCTGGACTAGAGGACATACATTAGGTGGAAACAATTTGGTGGTGGATGTCTAGGAAGGCAGAGGAGTCTTCATGGAAATTAATGGAAAAGAATTAACAATAGTGATGACATTGATAGGTTTACAGGGTCTTGAAGGAAGATCTAGAATTAAATTTTAATCTTTTTTAATGTGTTTGACAAAAAATTAGTTCCTGGGTCTTAGAGCTTAGGATCAGGAGGCCTCTTGTTTTTAATTCCGAGGATTCTCGGGAAAGAAGAATTATCCAATTTCAAACTGATCACCTTAGGCGAGGATACTTCTTTAATAGCTTTGAGATCTGGTAAGTGTACGTAGCTGTTTGAGGTATGAAATCTCTAAGATCATTGATAATGTCAAGGAACTGCTGAATCGGCTTTACTGTGATTTTTTCATCAAGAAGAATAAGCAATTCTTCACGGTTGATACTTCCGTTGATACCTTCCTTGAGAGAAATGCATTCCTTAAAAATCAATTTCTGTTTAGCCCAGTTGGATTTTCTTTTTCAAATGCATTCCTATCTGCTGCTACAAAGAATGCGGTGTGCTTAGTCGATGCATCTTTTGGTAAAATATTCTGATGCATTATGGTCTTGTGTGCTCCAATATCCATGTAAGCAATTACTTTCTTTGGATGAAAGGAGAGAATTTGAATTTCCACCAATGGTTGTTGAGGAGTAGGCACAACACTGTCTATTTCTTGGAAAGAATAAATAGGGAAATAGTCAGAACTAAGTTCTGAATCAATTTTTGATTCACATAGGAGTCTTGTAGTGCAAAGGCACTATCTTCATGTACTTAACTTTGCTCGGAGTAGATTGACTCTATGTCTGCATCAATTGGCAACAGGAAGTTGATAAGCTTGGTAGCTTTGGCTGTTTTATTGGGACAATTCTTACAAAGAAGTCCTTTTTGGCCATAGATAAAACACCTTAGGGATTTTCTTTTACCACAATCCTTCTTTTTAAAGAAATTGAAAGACTTTCTCCTTTTTAAATTTCTTGAGCTTCTGCTTGTGAGACCTTTTCTTTGTCAGGGAGAGACAGTTTTTCTCTCTGCACTTAATTTCCAATTAGGGCTTTCTGCAGGCTTTTGTGAATTTGGATTTTTGTGCCTGATATCAGAGAAAAATTGATGTTGTTTACAAAGCTTATCAATAGTATCGAGTGTCATCTGGTGTATTTGTCAAAGAGTCATGGTGTAACATCTTGCTAAGCATGAACAGGCATTCTTTGTAGCTCTGGTTGGATCTCTTGAGGAAGAGAAGCAACATAGGTATTTTTGAGGCTTGTATCATTATATTCATTAAGAAGATAAAACCTCTAGGACATTCTTTGATACTGTCTTTTAAGGCCCTTGACTTTGAGAGAAGAACATTTCATTAAAAAAAAAAAAAACAACACTTGTATTTTCTTCTTGTCAAAGAGAGTTGCGTCTCCAATGAATTCTTGGTGAATAACCCCTAGGAGTGTTGTATTTGCTTGAATGGATCTAAATTGTGATACCATTCTTTTAAAGTTCTAGTCATTCTGCTGGTGAATTCTTCAACTACTTTGTAGGGATTTGCATCTATGGTTATTGTTATGATTTTTATTTTTTTTTAACTGTTGACTACAGTGATGAACTTATGTCTCGTGAAGATGTTGTAGGGATTTAGAAGAGGACGAAGAGTTTTTGCAACTCTTACGTCATCAAGAACGTAAGAGTATTTAACAAGGTCTTCTATTATTGAAGAAAGAATTTTTGTATAGGATTTGGATAGGAAAAGAAAGAGGTCGAGCAATAAATAAAGCTGTTTTTTGGTTACAAGTTATGAGCTCGAATATGAGAAATATCATCTTTGCAAATATATAAGAGTAAAATTGCGTACAAAGATTGTTGTTATCCCTATCTAGAATCCTTACTAATTAGGGTTCAATGGAGTGATTTTATTTTGATGGGAAAAGAGATAAGAATGACCAGATTAATAAGAATTATGTAAAACCCACTTGCTTTTTCATATTTCTCTTTTGTCTTGTGTAATTCACCGCATTTCCCCCTTATTTTACACAGTTGTATACCATTTTTTATAAGGGTTCATTTTTTCTGTAGTTAATGCAGATAAATTATCTGCATTGAATCCAAAACGACGTCATTTTGGAATGGAAATCAAGGTGTTTTTATAATTTTAATTGATTTCAGGATTATAATTTTTTAATATTTTAACATCAAAACGACATTGTTTTGGGAGTAAATGAAGATAATTTATCAGTAATAATTGTAGAAATATTTTTCTGTTTTTATAGTAGTTATTAATTTAATTTCATTCTTACAAATAGCATATACTTCAGAGAAATCCGATCTTGTTATCATGCATGTCTCATTAAGCCAAGGTCAATTCAAAGCATATAACCTCCAGAGTTTTTATTTAACTAGTCTTCAACTGATTTTCCTAATTGCGTGAAAGAGACAGAAGCAGATAATGGAAGAAACGGAAGAATATATATATATATATATATATATATATATATATATATTTAGCAAGCCCAAATTATAATGACTGTATGATTAAGTTACAACACACTGCACAAGTATCAAACAAAGTACCAAACACACAACAATCGACAACATGTAGCAACCCTTTTATTTTCCCATTCTCACATCTTTGCACAATAACATAGTCTTGAATTTCACTTTAGTTATAGTCACGAACTCTTAATTTCCCTCTATTTGAATCACCTTGGTTTCTGGTTTCTTCACCTCCAGCTTAGGGACAGTCACAACAAGCACACCATTCTCCATGTTAGCCTTAACTTGGTCCACCTTAGCATTCTCCGGGAGCCTAAACCTCCTCTGAAACTTGCCACGAAAACGTTCAACACGATGCCACTTGTTCTTGCCATCTTCGTCATCCACATTCCTCTCACCACTAATCTGAAGCACCCTTCCTTCATCAACTTCTACCTTAACCTCCTCTTTCTTCAGCCCCGGAAGGTCAGATATAAACACATGGGCATCTTTGGTTTCTTTCCAATCTGTTGGGGTGCTTAGGATAGGACACTTATTGATCATAGATAAGAAGGGGTCAAAGGTTTCATCACCAAGAAGTTGAGAAATGAGAGACATGGTTAATTATTGTATTATTGAACACAAAAAACTATTAGGTGTTGTGGAAAAATGAGAAGGAAACTGAGTTGATAAATGCATGGT